AGCCTGAAGTGGTGCTCTGGCTCAAGTGGTAGGGCGCTAGCCTTGAGCTGAAGAGCTGAGGGACAGCGCCCAGGCCCAGAGTTCAGGCTCCACGACCAGCAATAAAGTAAAAAATAAAAAAGTAAAACATGGCCCGGAGCTGGTGGCTCATGCCTGTAATCTTAGCTACTCAGGAGGCTGAGATCTAAGGATTGCAGTTTAAAGCTAGCCTGGGCCCTAACAATCTCCAATTAACCACCTGAAAAGCGGAAGTGGTGCTGGCTCAAGTGGTAGAGCACTAGCCTTAAGCTGAAGAGCTCAGGGATAGTGCCCAAGCCCAGAGTTCAAGCCCCATGACTGAAAAAAATAAAAATAAATAAATAAATAAAACGTGCTCAGATCAGTATATTAAGCACTATATTAAAGGTAGAAGTTTTTAGACAGCCAATATTTTTTCTTTTTATAGTACATTCCCTTTAGGTGTTAGTTACCTGACGAATTCCTCCAGCAATAACTGTTGGTGTTATAACTGCCTTGGGCAGCTAGCAGTGAGCAAGAGTTTTGTTCTGAGCTGACACTGAGAGGTGAAGGCCCTCAAAACCTCATTAGTTGAAAGAGAATTGGAGAAATGCAGTACTTACACTTTTACTATCTTTTTGTGAATTGGCTTTATATAATTTATACATTGTCTTGACCAATTTTTTTTACTTTCACCATATGCAAGTGAGGTATAGCTGAAGGACCTCTGCCTCTTTACAGTTTTTTGTAGTAGTTAGAGTACTAGTTTCACAGCAGAGCCACTCAGGAGCTCTGATTAAACAAAACCTGTTCAGATGTCTGTCTGTCTCCCTGCAGTGAAGTCAGCATATCTGGGAAGTTCTCCAGGCAGTTCTCGCAAGCCCCAGAGCATAACTCAAAAAGAGCCCAGTGAGAAAATGAGACAGATGCATTGTGGAAAGTACAGAAGGTACAAGCCAGTGTCTCACAGGGTATTAGGCTTGTCAGAAAAAGTTAGGGAGGCTGTCTTTAAAAAGGAAGTTTATATTTGTAACAAAAGTCATCCTAATCTCTAGCATGGTGATGGGAGGGTCTAGACTAAGCTCAGAACTCAAATAGATAGGAAATGAGTGTTCACTAATTCTGCAAATGGATGAGGACTAACAGCAGATACTTAATACAGATCTGAGGAATGAATATCTTAACTTACTTTAAAAGCCTGCCAGGTCCAGTATCTAGAGTCCATTTTGCATCCAAAGTAATTGCATACTTACTAAGTTTTCTCATTTCTCCATTTCATTATTAGTGATACTCAATGCCAGGAAAGTACTTTTGAACCTATTTCCAGAAATACTAGTAGGCCTGCAAGGCAGTGGGCTGTAGTGGGTCGGGTTGTCCCAGGAGACACTGCCTTTCTAAATGGAGTCTTTGGGCCAGTTCATGCAAGTGCTGTGAGGAAGGGTAGTCCATCCAGTAAATACGGTTTTACTGGATGTCCACTTGGAAAACAAAGCTACACAAAGTAGATCCCAGGTAGAGCACAGAGTTGCATAAAGGAGGATTTAGAAGACAGCTCAGGGGATTTTTAAAGTGTAATCCAGGGGTTGGGAAGACCTTAAGGAAAAAGCATAAAAGAACTTTAGGGAGCGGGGAGGACTTGAACTCACACTTCAGAAAGCCTGAAATTCTTTCCACTTATACTTTCTAGTAGCCAAATGATCTTGGAACTAAAGATGTCCTTCAAACATCTGCAAAGATATTTACTCAAGGAAATATATATTAAGCCAATGAGCTTTCATTGTTTTCCTTTGTTTTTGTTTTGAGGCTTTACTTGCTAGGCAGGTACTCTCAGTTTTTATTCTTTGTTTCTTCAATTGGTTTAAAAAAAAAAAAATTGTCAGTCATGGGGCTTGAACTTTGTGCCTGGGCACTGTCCCTGAGCTCTTCAGCTCAGGGCGAGAGTTCTACTATGTAAGCTCCACTGCCACTTCCAGATTTCTGGTGGTTAAATGGAAATAAGATGGGGCTGGGAAGGTGGCTCAGTGCTGGGTTCGATTCCTCAGCACCGCATAAGCAGAAAAAGCCAGAAGTGGGGCTGAGGCTCAACTGGTAGAGCGCTGGTCTACAGCTGAAGAGCTGGGGGACAGCACCTAGGCCCAGAGTTTAGGCCCCACAACCAAGAAAATAAATAAATAAATAAATAAGGAAATAAGAGTCTCACAGACTTTCCTGCCTGGGCTGGCTTTGAACTGGGATCCTCAAATCTCAGCCTCCTGAGTAGCTAGGATTACAGACAAGAGCCACTGTTGCTCAGCTTCAATTGGTAAAAATTTTAAAGGATTGAAAAAGTATGTAAAAGGGGCTGGGAAGGTGGCTCAGTGGTAGAGTGCTTGCCTTGCATGCATGAGGCCCTGGGTTCGACTCCTCAGCACCACATAAGCAGAAAAAAAAAAAAAAAAGCCAGAAGTGGTGCTGTGGCTCAAGTGGTAGAGTGCTAGCCTTGAGTTGAAGAGCTGAGGGACAATGCCCAGGCCCAGAGTTCAGGCCCCACAACCAGACCAAAAAAAAAAAAAAAAAGTATGTAAAAAAAGAATACAGTCCCTTCCGTTCTAGTAGAATATAGAAATCAGTAAAATCGCCAGGCGCTGGTGGCTCACGCCTGTAATCCTAGCTACTCAGAAGGCTGAGATCTGAGGATCGCGGTTCAAAGCCAGCCCGGGCAGGAGAGACCGTGAGACTCCTATCTCCAATAAACCACCAGAAAACCGGAAGTGGCGCTGTAGCTCAAGTGGTAGAGCCTCAAGTGGTAGAGCGCTCGCCTTGAGCTGAAGAGCTGAGGGACAGCGCCCAGGCCCAGAGTTCAAGCCCCACGACCGACAAAAAAAAAAAAGAAATCAGTAAAATCTTGACACTCTGGTGGTCAAGGTAGGATCTTGACGTCGTAGCCAGCTTGGGCTACATACAAGGCCAGACCTGTCTTACTAACAAAACAGCAAGACAAAAGCACTCCAGCCTTTTTGTGAAGGGTGAGTTACAGTATCTGTTGAAACTTAACACAAGCATGTCCTTTGACAGCAGTTCCAGTTCTGAATATCTCTGCTAGAGGAATAATTGAACATTTAAAGGAAGTATAGCTAAGAACATGGCTCCGTATAGAACTCCATCAGTGAGATAGAGAAGCCACATTTTGAGAGGTTGAATTGGGAGTCTTTGTTAGGAAGCTGGGGAAGAACTTGCAGCCCTGAATGCTTTTACTACAAAGCTTAAAGGCCACACCCACATCACAGCTGATGTCACCTGTTCTGGGGACTAGCAAAGCTTGTCCAACTGAAGCAAGCAAGGGGAAACAATTGAGGACAACCAAGGACAAGTATTCTCTGTAGCAAAACTTTCCTGGAGCTAAACAACTCATGACATGCCTTCAATTCAAAGAATATTGCCTCTATAGTGCTTAATAACCCACAACACAGCTGCAGATCAAAGAAAATCCTGTGTCTCCTCTAGAGTTCATCATCCTATCACGAGATGCCCAAATAGCAACAAGAACAAGATGGCATTACTTAGATCCAGTATCTGTACTTCAGAGAGACCTCAGGCTCAGCCCCCAGCACTGCAAAGAGAAAAGGGAGGTACTATGTATGCACTAGTGTTTAGGAGGCATTGTTTGAATGGTTAACACTAATAAAATTCTAATCAGTATGAGAATTAACATCTCGGGGTAAGTAGGAAAAAGATGATTTTTGGAACATGCATCTGTGATTTTACTGTGTGTTACATATACGTTGTCCAAGAACCACTGGAGCCACAATAGACACAAAAATAAAGAATTGTCTCCGTAACACAAAATTTATTTGTATAGAAGGGTGCACCATCAGCCAGAAATCTGGCAAACTGGCAGGCTACTCCTATTCACATAAGGTGACCATTGAAGAATTTTGAGATAAGATTGACAGTACATAAGTAATCTCAAAACATACCCAAACCCTCTCCTATTTTTTTTAAGGCCCAGGCAGTTTTTTTATTTATACTTCTTGTCACACTGACATTGAAAATGTTTCATTGATTATTTCTTTGTATTTGGTTATACAAAAATCAAAGAAAAGACCCATATACTACCAAGCTCTGCTGTTTCTTTTTTTTGGGGGGGTTGGGGGAGGTCTGGTTGTGGGGCCTGAACTCGGCCTGGGCGCTGTCCCTCAGCTCTTCAGCTCAAGGCTAGCGCTCTACCACTTGAGCCACAGCGCCACTTCTGGCTTTTTTTGCTTATGTGGTGCTGAGGAATCGAACCCAGGGCCTCTTGCATGCAAGGCAAGCATACTACCACTGAGCCACCTTCCCAGCCCAAACAGGAAGGTTTAAGCAGTCCACTTTATTAGGAAGGATCGAGCAGATAGAAGGGAAAAAAGGGGACAGAGACTTTAACAGATCAGATCAAACTTTAATCATTGCTGAAGAGGAATGCTAAGTAACACAAAACAGTCAGCTACAAGGGGTCTAGAATTTACATACAGTTAAATAAGGGAAGTTACTGATTGTGAAATAAATCTGGTAGTTGCAGTAAAAAGTTCCACCCACAGCAATGCATACTCTCAGGGGGTAAGTGGTAGTGAAGGTGTGTGTGTGTGTGTGTGTGTGTGTGTGTGTGCGCGCGCGCGTGCGTGCGTGCGTGCGTGCGTTGCAAAAATGACAGTCTGTTCACTTGTGAAAACTACTAACAGTGGCAGTCATGGATTTGAACTTAGGGTCTGAGTGTTGTCCTTGAGCTCTTTTGTTCAAGGCTAGCCCTTTACCACTTTGAACGTCTCACAGGGACTTACCTGCCCAGGCTGCCTTTGAACTGAGAACCACAGATCTCATCCTCCTGAGTAGCTAGGATTGCAGCATAAGCCACAAGCACCTGGCAGTCCCTGAAAATTATTAGCTAGTGTTTATACCAGATAGCAATTTCAGGCCATGGCTGTTTTATTGAAACAGTATCTTAGGTGTCTTTCTGTTAACAAAAATTTGCATCTGCCTTTCTATAGGATGGAAACCGACTACAACCCCATGGAGCTAAGCAGTGTGTCGGGGTTCGAAGACAGCTCGGACCGTAATGGTTTTGAAGGAACTGATGTGAAGGACATGCGGCTAGAGGCAGAAGCAGTAGTGAATGACGTCCTCTTTGCTGTTAACAACATGTTTGTCTCAAAAAGCCTGCGCTGCGCAGATGACGTGGCCTATATCAATGTGGAGACAAAGGAAAGGAACAGATACTGCCTAGAGCTCACTGAAGCAGGGCTGAGGGTAACTCTTCTTTTTAGAAAAAAAAGAAAAAATAGTAAATCCAAACCAATCTATTAGAAAGGGATGGGGGAGGCTGGGAATATGTCTTGTCAAGCATGCATGAAGCCCTGGGTTTGATTCCTCAGTACCACATAAATAGAAAAAGCCAGAAGTGGTGCTGTGTCTCAAGTGGTAGAGTGCTAGCCTTGAGCAAAAGAAGCTCAGGAACAGTATCCAGGCCCTGACTTCAAGCCCTAGGACTGTAAAAAAAAAAAAAAAATCAGGCTGCCTATAATCGTAGCTACTCTGGAGGCTGAGATCTGAGGATCATGGTTCAAAGCCAGCCCGGGCAGGAAAATCCATGAAACCCTTGCCTCCGGTAAACTACTTAGAAAAGCTGGAAGTGGTGCTGTGGCTCAGGTGGTAGAGCGCTAGCCTTGTACAAAAAGAAGCTCAGGGACAGTGCCCAGGCCTAGAGTTCAAGCCCCAGGACTGGCAGAAAAAAAATGAAATCAGGCATAAAGGTGAACAGCCGTGGTCCTAGCTGTTCAGGAGGCAAAATTAGTACAAGACCTGAACTCACCAATTCTGGACCACTCCTTCTAAAATACAGTTCTGGAAAACTGTAGTGGATTTTAAATAGAAAAAAAAAAAAAAAAGAAAAGTAGAAAAAGTGGATCTGACACCAAAATCAAATGAAATTCATTAATGAATGACCAGGAAACCATCATAATTTGGCTAATTCTCCAAGTTGCCTGAAGTGAAAGAGAAGTAGTTTTGATAATCAGAAATCTTAAATGGGAGTGATATTGGGTGAGTCATCTTATCCTAGGGCCCTGTGTCTTCATCTAAAACCTAGAGGCAGAGACAGACACAGAAAGAGAAAAGAGAGAGGTATAAGATTGAGGGGTGATTGAATAAATAAAGGATATTTTTTTAAAAATCTGGACCAGCTGTAAAAAGCTGTCATGTAGTAGGTGCTCAAATATTTTTCACTTTAGTTGACTTGGCATCATCAAGCTCCTGTCCTGTGTCAGTAGTAAGACATTATCCCGGTCTACCAGGAAGATTAGTCTATCAAGAACAAGAGAAAGGAAGATAGAAGTGTACAGTACTACAGAGTGCTGTAGGAATAGGAATTCCCTTTAACACTAGTTATTCAGGAGGCAAAAAGGTCAAGAGACCCCCATCTCAGCCAGTTACTGGGTGTGTACCTATCATCACAGCTATTCCAGAAGCTGAAATGAGAAGGATAATAGTTCCACACAAATCCATGGCAAAAAAAAAAAAAAATTGCAAAACTCCATCAAAAGAGAAAAGGCTATGTATAGTGATGAACATGTGTCCTCCCAGCCCCACAGAAAACGTACTCAGGATTGCAGGCCAGGCAAAATGTGAGACCCTAGCTCAAAATAACCAGAGTAAGCCGGATATGGGTGGCTCATATCTGTAATCCTAGCTACTCAGGAGGCTGAGATATGAGGATCATGGTTCAAAGTCAGCCCGGGTAGGAGAGTCTGTGTGAGATTAGCTTCAGTTAACCACAAAAAAAAAAAGCCGGAAGTAGAGCTGTGGCTCACATGATAAGTGCCAGCCTTCAGGACAATGCCTGGACCCTGTGATCCAGCCCTAGTAACCAATCCAAAAATAAACAGTAAATTTATAAATTAGGTTTTTTTTTTAATCAATGATTCCAAGAAAAGAAAGTGTGTACGATAAATAAATAAAACCTTTAAATTTTATAGATTCCTCTAAGGGAACATTTTGCTTGTGTTCCTATGTCATATGTTATAAATTACTTAAAGTCTTAAAAATGTATTTAAACGTGGCTATTCTGTTGATTGAAGAGGAGCATCATTAGACAATGGCGCGGGCAAGCACTTGGATTGTGCCTTCTGGGAAGATAGACACAAGTCATTATATCTGTTCCGTCTTTTCTCTTGTAGGTGGTTGGTTATGCCTTTGACCAGGTGGATGATGATTTGCAGACACCCTACCATGAAACAGTCTACTCCTTGTTGGATACACTCAGCCCTGCCTACCGGGAAGCATTTGGCAATGCATTGCTTCAGAGACTGGAAGCTTTGAAAAGGGATGGACAGTCATGACCCAGCTTCTTCCTTTAAAGGGAGTGGCTGCTGGTTCCGAATGTTAACAGAAAACTTGAACTTCTTGCCTATGATCACAGTAGAAAACACATCTTTGGTTTTGTGTGTTTATCATTTGCTTCAGATTTAGGCTTTTAACTCAGAACATGATTAACAAATGAGTTGTCTCAGTTTCTGACTCATTAAGGGAATTGTGAGGCCATGGCTAAGACACCATTATTAACATTCAGATTCCTTTACACAGTTTGTCTGCATTTCAAACCCTAATCAGTATCTCATTCTCTTACCACAGGGCTTTCAAGCTGCCAGCACTCTCTTTTACATAGGAAATTCTAGATTTGCACAGTAATATAGGAATTAGAATTACCTAACTTCAAACTTGGATTCAGCCTGCTAAATCAGGGGTTTACTACTAGCTTGGACTGACTTTGTAGTGATTGTTTTGCTACTAGCCTTATTGGAAACAAAACGATCCCCTGCACAAATTTTGAAATTCACTAGTTCACTTATTCTGCTTATATTGCTAATACAGACTGATAAAGGTGGATTCCTTATCTAATAATTACTTACTAGTGCTTAACTAATAGTAAGTGAAAAATGAACTGAAATAGTTCTGCATTCCTTGTTTGCAACCGCCAGCCAACTAAGCAGAGGAAAAACCGTTAGCAAATGAATGTAATAATTACTTGTTTCCAAGATATCTAAGCACATGAGCAAATACAGGAACAGGCTCCATTCTCAACAAAAAGCATCCTCAGTGTATATTATTTCAAAGAAAGAAGCTTCTGGTTTCCTAGAAGACAATATTTTGGCCTGTGTTGATTCTTATTCTGAATGTTTGTTTACATAATGTACAGTATCTATATATATTCAGAAAGTATTTTTGCTTCAACGTTTCCTTTCTATGATGTAGTGCTTTGGTACTCCCACGAGACCCCTCCCTCCCAGTTAGCGGGACAGTGTTCTGTCTCAGTGCTCAGTGTACAGTGTCATATGAGTGCATTGTATGGGTTTGAAACCAAAGGATGAATGAAGCATTCAGAGACTTCATATTTGAAAAAGAGATACTCTGTATTTTATATTTTGTTACAAGTACTGATCTTTATAAACTTACTAAAAACAGTACCATGCTGCTGCATATTTTCAAATACATGCTGAACAGTGAGGACTGAGAAGTAGTTCTTCAGTCACCTAAAGCAGCCACTGTAGAAATGTTCAGCTAAAATTTTGCATCTGGGTGCACCTTCATAAATATGTCATTTGCAGATTTTTTTAAGTTATTTTACAGTAGACAATTTTAGGCTCCAAAGATCTTACGAAAGCTTGGGATGTAGCTCAGGGTAGAGCACTTCCCTAGCATGCTGAGGCCCTGGATTCAATCCCTGGGACTGGAAGGGGGCAGGGGGGAGATGATGTGGACCAGAGCAAAATAAAGGATTGAAGTTCATTTGTGTCAATGTTCACAGATTTCTCTGGACCGTTGGGTTGTGTATGGTCATGCATGGTCATCCTCTGCACTGTTGTCAGATGCTTAACTGTTCAGAAATGAAGTCTAACTTCAGGTTGAACTCTCTCATGCTTAAACTCAGGCTAAGTGTAAATGATATTTGTAAAGTTTGAATAAAATCCTGTTTACTCACTTTTGAGTTAAGTATGAAGGAAAGTAATTGTACATTTAAAATTGAAATTGTTCATTTTGTGATAAATGATTGATTCCAAGAACTTCTGTCTCTGTTTTTGAATTACTAAAATTTTATTACTATGGAAGAGGAATAAGAAATCAGTATTTGGTCGGAATGTGGCTTAGTGGTAAAGTGCTTGCCTAGCATGCATGAAGCCCAGAGTTTGATTGAATTCCTGAGTACCACGTAAGCAGAAAAAACCAGAAGTGGTGCTGTGGCTCAAGTAGAGCACTAGCCTTGAGCACAGAGAGGCTCTGGGACAGAGCCCAGGCCCTGAGTTCAAGGCCCAGGAAAAGAAAAGAAAAAAGAAATCAGGACTTTAGTGAAACTACATAGATACAGAAGAGGCCTAATCACTAAATCTTCCATTTACACCATTGGAGGAATGTAACCTTATTTTACTTCTAAGGGAAAAGCAAAGTCTTAAAATTAACAGAAATCAATACGAAAATAGAAAAAAATTAAAGAATAGAATAACAGGAAAATAATATAATCAGACAACTCAGAAAAAAAATGCACAGATTCCAAGGAACACTTGAAAGATGTTCTGAATAGAAAAAAATATATGGAGAAAAAATAATACGAGAAGGAAGTACTTAAAATAACTGGGCTTTCAGCGGATAGAGACTAATGGAAGGAAGCGGATGTGATCAAAGTAAATTACATGCATGTAAAAGAAAATGGGAGGGCTGGGAAGGTGGCTCAGTAGTAGAGAGCTTGCCTTGCATGCTTGAGGCCCTGGGTTTGATTCCTCAGCACCACATAAGCAAAAAGAAAAAAGCCAGAAGTGGCGCTGTGGCTCAAGTGGTAGAGCGCTAGCATTGAGCTGAAGAGCTGAGGGACAGCGTCCAGGCCCAGAGTTCAGGCCCTATGACCAGACCCAAAAAAAAAGAAAGAAAATGGGAGCCAGGCACTAGTAGCTCACACCAATAATCTTAGCTACTAAGGAGGCTGAGATCTGAGGACCATGGTTCAAAGCCAACCCAGGCAAGAAAGTCCATAAGACTCTTCAATTCACCACCAGAAAACCAGAAGTGAAGTTGTGGGCCTTGAGCAAAAAAGCTAAGGGATAGTACTGAGTCCCTGAGTTTAAGACTATAACCAACAAAAATGAAAATGGGGCCTTTTCACCTAGTTGTTTTTCAGATGCTCTTATTTAAATAACCAGAATTTCATGAGGGGCATGCTTACATTTGGTTAGAAACCTTTCTTGAAATATTTGTAAGAGAGCTTTTGCAAACAGCTAATGGATAGTGCCAGGCACGATGGCAGCATGTATCTGTAGTCTCAGCTACTTGGAGGGCTGAGGGAGGAGAAGCACAAATTTGAGACCAGTTGGGCAATTTTGGAGACTCAACAGGCTGAGACTATGGTAACAGGCTTGTCTAGCAGGTACAAGGCCCTGAGTTCTATCCTCAAAACTGGTGTGGGGGGGGGGGGGGTGAGTGGTAAAATGTTGTGGTTTGTGTTTGTACTGACTGGGGTTTGAATTTGAGGCCTGAATACTGTCCCTTAGCTTTTTCACTCAAGGATAGCACTTTACCACTTGAGCCACGGCCCCATTTTTGTGTTTTTGCTGCTTGCTTAGAAGTAAGAGTCACAGACTTTCCTGCCCAGCCCGGCTTTGAACCACAATCCTCAGATCTTCCGAGTGAATAGCTAGGATTACAGGCATGAATGAGTCACCAATACTTGGCAAGAAAAAGTTTTTAAAAGGTTGGTAGCACAGGGAAATGATTCAAAAGATTAAACACTACAAAAGGCATTTGCTTTTCTCCAGTGAAAACTTGGCAAGCTCTAAAAGGGCAAATTATGCTCTATCCTTCTGATGGAAAAACGATATTCCATGATTGAAACTGAAAAGAGTAATGTGGAAAAATATGCTACATAGAAATTAGAATATATCTGGGTGCTGGTGGCTCACGCCTGTAATCCTAGCTACTCAGGATGCTGAGATCTGAGGACCGCAGTTCAAAGCCAGCCTGAGCAGGAAAGTCCATGAGACTCTTATCTCCAATAAACCACTCAAAAACCGGAAGTGTTGCTGTGGCTCAAATGGTAGAGCTCTCGCCTTGAGCTGAAGAGCGCAGGGACAGCACTCAGGCCCAGAGTTCAAGCCCCACTACCGACCAAAAAACAAAAAATTAGAATATAAAACTGTATACTATAATCTATTTTCAAAATTCATATGAGGGGCTGGGAAGGTGGCTCAGTGGTAGAGTGTTTGCCTTGCAGGCATGCAGCCCTGGATTCAATTCCTCAGCACCTCTTAAGCAGAAAAAGCTGGAAGTGGTGCTGTGGCTCAAGTGATAGAGCACTAGCCTTGAGTTGAAGAGCTGAGGGATAGCGCCCAGGCCCAGAATTCAGGCCCCATGACCGGCCAAAAAAAAAAAAAAATATATATATATATATATATATGATACAAGAAGTCAAAATAGTTTGAAACATTCACAATAGGTGATAAAATCTTGTTTAATATTCTTTCACACTTTCTACACATTTGCTTATATGAACTAGTAAAAAGAAGGAAATTCCTGATTGAAGGTACATTTCAGTGCTAGAGCTTAGTAGGCCCCACCTTCAAACCCAGAACCAAAATTAGCCGTGAGAGGATTAATTCAGTAGCTGTGGGATTTGAGCAAGAAGCATTGTTGAGTTGCGTCTGCCTCCCAAGAGAGCATGACCATGAAAAGATCACACATCTTTTCCCATAATGACCTCCTTTCCTTGTAGGTCCAGTCATTACACTTCCCAAACTGCAAGCAGCTGCTGGATGGGTACTGAGCAGGAGTTTCTTCCATGGCAGCCTGCACTATGCTCTCTCCAGTTTTCAAAAACACGGTGTTGTCTGGTTGCTAAAAGGAAATAAGAGGGAACAGAGAGGTTCTGGAACATGCAGATTGGTTCCAGAACTCCCTTACACATACACACACACACACACACACAACCGATTTCCTATTTACCTATCTTCATAGAAAATGCAGACTAAAAATGAGCAATCAAGTGACAGTTTAGAATATTTCAATAAGTCATTTAAAAGAATGCCAAGGTATGTTTACTCCAAGTTTTGCACTAGTTTTATGAAAATATTTACATTTAAACTAACAAGACTTTCTTGTGGTATGAAATCACAATAAGCTTACACATGTCCAATTTCCATCAGTTTATCGAAATGAAGTTTTGTGGGGTTTGGGATTTTGTGTGTGTGTGTGTGTGTGTGTGTGTGTGTGTGTGTGTGTGTGTGTGTGTGTGTGTGTGTGTGTGTGTGTGTGTGTGTGTGTGTGTGTGTGTACTAGGGTTTAAACTCAAGGCATGAGCCCTGAACCTTAGCTTTTTCACTTAAGGCAAGCATTCTACTACTTAAGCCATACCTCCGCTTCCAGTTTTTGCTGATTAATCGGAGATAAGAGTCTCCCAAGACGTTCCTGCCCAAGACGGCTTTGAACCACAGTCCACAAGTCTCAGCCTCCTGAGTAATGAAGTTTAAACAATATGCATAAAAATAGGGGGCAAAAACTGGAATGTACTTGTTTGACTTTGCAGCACCAGGGATGGAACCCAGTGCCTCATACATGCCAGCCAAGTGCTCTACCAGTTGAACTAAGTCCACAGTTCTAAAACGATTTAATAAAAAAATTTTGTTGAAGTGTGCCTCAACCTTACTAAAAGCAAACAATCATCTTATTGATGGAAAACACGTTAGAAAATGCATGTACATGTTTTCTCTAATCCTAATAGCCCTTTTAGGCTGGGGAGTATAGGTAACTCCTAGCCTGCCACCAACTTAAAAGCCCATGGAAGGATAAAAACATTGGTCCCGTCACCCACAGATGGTTTCAGTGCTGCACCTCCAAGCTCTCAAAATCCTGGAACACATCTGTTTGAAAGCACCCATGAAACAAGGGCCAGGAGTAGTGGCTTGTGCATATAACCTAATCCACTCAGCTGAAAAAGAAGGATCATGGGTTACATATTCAGGCCTTGATGAAAGAAGGAAAGAAAGGGAGAGAGAGAGGAAAAAAGAGAAAAGAAGGAAGGAAGGAAGGAGGGAAGGAAGGAAGCAAGGAAGCAAGGAAGGGAGGGAGGGAGGGACACACAACACAACCGCTATATTTGTTAAGGGTTGACTGTACATTTAATAAGCTAATATTTAAAACAAGCAGGCACCAGTGGCTCATGCCTATAATCCTAGCTACTCAGGAGGCTGAGATCTGAGGATCATGGTTCAAAGCCCGGGCAGGAAAGTCCATGAGACTTTTACCTCCAATAAACCACAAGAAAACCGGAAGTGGAGCTGTGCCCTGAGTTCAAGCCCCACGACTGACCAAAAAAGAAAGAGAGCAAAAGTATTTCTCTGTAAGACTATCCCAAAACAATCGAAGGGATCCATTCATTTGCACAGCTTCTGAGGTCCAGTCATTAAAGAAGCCGACTATCCTGTCATCTGTCACCTGTTCCAGCCGCTTCAGCGACCGCCGTCTAAGCGTCATCCTTTTGGGAATGTGGCACCGATGGCCCCTAGCGGAGCTGCTAAGGTGACACCACTTGAGCCCGCAGGCAGTGGAGCTCGCCCACGCCGCGGCTCCCGAGCCCCGCTCCCCACAGCCCCGTGCCACCCTTTCCTGTGATGCTGCGAATGGCCCCGTCCTCCGCGGCACCCGTGGCTCCACAGCCACCGCCCACTGTCGTCCGGTCAGGGGGTCCCTGGGCTGTGTCCTCAGTTTCCACACGAAGGAGAGGAAGGGGAACAGCGATCACACAGTCCTGACGATGAGGGGCTTCCAGAAAGTGCGCTCTAAAGACGCGCTCTGCGGAGGGCACGCGGAGGACGGCGGACCCGCGCGAGTCCGGGCTGCAAAGCGCTGTCACGCCAGCACCCTTGCCTCCAGCCCTCGGGGAGGCCGCCAGAGAGGCGCCCCGCCCCCGAGGGCCGAGCCCCGCCCCGATCGGAGCAGCCACGCCCCCGAGGGCCGGGAACCCCTCCTTCCTGAACGCCACGCCCCTTCGCAGCTAGCAGTTACGCCCCCGAGGGCTGGGAGC